CTTCTGGTTTCAGAATCAGTTCATCATAAAATTCGTTGGTTTCTTGTTGATTCACGAATCTGAATCTATTATTCGCCTTTCAAAATGACGATCATGAGCAGGATTTTATTACAAAAGAATCAACCTCCTTGTATTAACACTAAACTACCACACCTTTGGTATTCTTTGTTTAACTTTAGATCACGTTTTTTGTCATTTCTATTATTTTTTAACTAGATTTTGACCCACGGCAACCATGAGATTAAATAATTAAATATATTTTTAATCTATTTTAATATGTAAATGTGTCTAATAAATCATATGATTTCTAATAGTTATAAACTTACAAAATGATATGCATTGTGCATAAGTATAATCAAGTTAAATTTTGATCAAGCATATTTTGATACCATCAATTTTAATATTTTTATGTGCAATTGATCAGAACATATGAAAATGTTATTTATTTCAATATATTTTAAGTGTAAAATTAATTTTTATTATTCATGTAAATTATAGAGCATGCGATAAATCAATTAAATTTTATATTTATATGAATTTGTCGGACATAATAAACGAAAAGCAATATTTGTTTTTCAATAATGAAATGTGTTAAAATTTTATATATCTTATTAATCTAAATAATATATAAACAATAAATAATATTGTCACAAATATAATAATAAAAAGTTTATAAAAAATAGATAATATGGTAAGTCTAAATATTACATTTAGTTAGATTTAGATTTGCAAATAATGTATTAATGGGTTTATGCTAAAAATTAATAAGAATATGTAGAATTAATTAAAATATTTTTATTGGTTAATTTAAATAACATGTTTCTTGCAACTCTTTTGACACATAAGATTTTCATCTTAGTGTCTCTTCAATTAATATATAGAAGATTACAGTACTGCAAAATGATGCAATGAAAACGCTAATATGACTTAATTAACAAGGGACGTAAAATAAAACATGGTAAAAGATTACTTTTTGTTAATAGGGTTATAAAAAAATTATTACTACCGATCTTTTCTGAATATGATCGATGACAATTGAATCAAATGCGAATGTTTCATCTTCTATCAATATAACCAATTAAATATATCAATAACCGAAACTTGGTCAAGAATCAAAATGGTCAAGAATCAAGATAAGATAGTATTCTTTCCGTTTCAATATATAAATTGTTTTTAGTTTTATTTTTGTTTCAAAATGTAAGTTGTTTTGACAATATTAGATATTTTTTAACTTTATTGAATATTGTGTGACCATTAGTATTTTGTAGTCTTTTGTGTGATTGGTCAAATTATTTTTATTAGATATATTTAATGATATTTTTTAGTAGAAAAGTAGTTTCTTAATATTCGTGCTTTTGGCTAAAACAACTTATATTTTGAAACAAAGAGAG